CAGGCTCCAGGCTCATGCATGGGCTTCGGTAGCTGCAGCACGTGGGCTCAGTAGTTGCACCTTGCAGGCTGTGGAGCTCAGGCTCAGTAGTTGTGGCTCACTGGCTTAGTTGCTCTGTGGTATGTGAAATCTCCCCAGACCAGGGACCAAACCTGTGTCCCTGGCAACGGCAGGCAGGTTCTTATCCACTAAGCCACCGGGGAAGTCCTCATGTGTTTGGTTTTTTTTTTTTTCCCTCATGTGGTTTTAAATGGCCTTTCCTAGGCCCTATTTGTGTTTTTCTGGGGACTGTACCAGGCCTCAGTTTCAGCATGTGGGGTTTTGAGTTGTAGCAGGTGAACTCTTAGTTGGGGCACATGGGATCTAGTTCTTTGACCAGGGATCGAACCAGGGCTCCCTATGTTGGGAGGCAGAGTCTTAGCCACTGGACCACTAGGGCAGTCCCCAGGCCCTGTTTCATGACCAACTCATGACGTATGTTCTACTACTATCACCCTCACTTTTCATATGAGGAGACAGAGGCCTAGGAAGCTTCGATAGCTTGCCCAAGGACATGATATACCTAGTAAGAGGCAGAACTAGGTTCAATCCAGGCACTATTCCTCCAGAGATCAGACTCTTAGCTCTTCTGCTACATTATTCTCCCAAGAAGTTTTGGGGTCCTATTACGGGTAGTCATTTATAAGGGGGGTGACAAGAGCACTCCGTCACCTGAAGGGAAGAGTGTGGCCCAAGGCAAAGCTTTACAGCCTAAAGATAGACTTCAGCAGAACCACATGCCAGGAGACAGAAGCTGCAGCTGCCGGTCCACAGTTGAGGGCTGGCCTGGGACACCTGCCAAGGGCCCCTGGTCTCAATCTCTGCCTTTCCCTGCTGAGCTCTGCCAAATGGCAATGTGGTAGCTCTGCCTGCAATAGATAGCGCAAGATCATGCCTCATCCTCCCACTCCTGCTGCTTGAATCCTGTCGGCACCCAGGAAAGGGCCCCATCTGACTCAGTAACCGTTACAAGAGTCTGGGGGGATGCCAGGGGGAAAACTGTCTTGTGGCCTTGAATCCTTCTGGAAACAGGTGGGGTATAAATTATAAATCAATACATATGCTAGTTCTACAAGGGAAGATGGAAAACAACAGCAACAACAACAACAACCACAGAACTCTACAAAAATGTCAAGTGTCCAATTATGCACCTCTTGAGTCCATGCTACCCAAGGACTAAGGCAGAGCAATGGCCCCTGGTCATTTGAATTTCAAGCAACAGTGACACTTGGAAAAAAAGAAAAAAGGAAGTAACTGAAGGGAATGACGTTAGTTTGGTAGTTTTTTACTTTGCCAGGAAGGACATTAATAAAATAACAACCACTAATTGCTATCACCATGATGTCATAAAAGAAAGGACATATTAGGAACCCCAAAGGTATAAAAGACAATCTCAGAATAAGAGATGGTCTTTTAGATGGCATACATTAGCTTTATGAAAAGTGCACTATATTGTCTTGATATTTCTCACTGAAAATGCTATCATTGCCAAGTTTTTTCATCACCTAAAAGTTCCTTCTTGCCCTTTTGCAGTCAATTGCCTTCCCCCATTCCTGGCATCTGGGAAACACTGATGTATTTTCTGTTACTCTGATAGTTTAGGTAGGAAGCTAGAATTTGCAGAGTCAAAGGTTTTGTCTTGACTAGAATTTCATATAAATGGATGAAAAACTAAAGTCTCTCTTTCCTATTTTCGACTTTAAAAATCCCAGGGGAGAACTTTGGCTCAGCTGATGCCCAGTGCTCACCCTTGGCCAGTCAAGGTAGCAAGGACCTGTGAAAAATGACACTTGAAGGACCAGACAATTAACACAACATTGTAAATTAGCTATAAACTTTAATTAAAAAAAAAAAAGATTTGAGGATAGGGAAAATCACTCCTCAATGCAAAATGAATTGATCTTCCTCGAAGAAAGGGTACAGGGGAAAAACAGAGTGTAAGTCTCCACCTAAGTATTCATGGCAATAGCAATTCATGTGAGAAATAACTTAAAGCGAAACAGCTGATAGGGCTGTAAGAGACTCATTGTTTCAAAGGCTCTATCTATTCCCCTGGCTTGAAGTTTTCCAGGGTCAAGGACTAACTGGCAGGAGTCTATGAAGGAGAGAGTTAATATATGTAACAGTTACCCTGAAAGAGATAGAAAGAAATAGAAAAGCAACTTTCTTCTCTGTGTTCTTTCCCCTCCCCTGCCTGTTTGTGCTGTTGAACATTTTTTTTCCCCAACCCTTGAATGAAATCTGGTTGGTCCCACTAGCTTTTTGGTATTCTTCAGGTAACAGAAAGATCTTCAGATATTCTAATCCCAAGAATAGTCTCATTTCATTAATGAAAATGTTCAGTTGTGAGCATCAGTCAAACCTAAGAATTCTATTTCTAGGAATAGGGGGCATCTTCAGGAGAGAAGGGCTTTCCTGGTGGCCAGTGGTAAAGAACCCTCCTGCCAATGCAGGAGACGCAGGTTCAATCCCTGGGCCGGGAAGATGCCCTGGAGGAGGAATTGGCAAACCCACCTCAGTATTCTTGCCTGGGAAATCCCTTGGAAAGAGGAGCCTGGCAGGCTACAGTCCATGTGGTCACAAAAGAGCCGGATACGACTTAGCAACTAAATAACAAAAGTAGGAGAGAAATAGCATGTGACCAGCTTCTCTAATTTCCCACCAAAAGTCTCTCTTTAAACTACAAAATTCCTCCCTTATCCACCCCTCAACACCACTAACAGCATTTTCTGACCTGGGTGTGGGGAGGGGATGGAGGAAATTCCTATTAGCTGGGTACTGTCCTGATCTGCCTAGTACGTATTCCAAGCTTTTTCCTGGGGGGTTCTGTTTTCACCAGGCTTCTCCGGTGGCTCAGTGGTAAAGAATCCATTTATCAATGCAGGAGACATCCGTTTCATATCTGATCTGGGAAGATCCCCTGGAGAAGTAAATGGCAACCCACTCCAGTATTCTTGCCTGGGAAATCCCATGGACAGAGGAGCCTGGTGGGCTACAGTCCATGGGGTCACGAGGAGTCAGTCATGACTTAGCAACTGAACAACAACAACTAGGTTCACCATATTACCTTGAGTGAAGTACGATGAGGCTGGATCAGGAAGTAGAAAGCAAAAAGTTTTACAGTTTTGTTATACTCACGGTTCCTTGGACAGAGAATTGGACAGTTCCCTGGACAGTAGCCCTGCGCATAGAGCTACTTGCTGTAAACATGGGGGTGGATGACTAGGCAGACAGACGGAGGGAAACTGTGGTTTCCGTGGGAAGGAAAAAGCAAGGCAGGATAAACAGGTTTAGGACTAGCTAATTTGAATAATTTTGGTGGGCTCGAGGACATAGAAGCTGTCCCTGGCCATCTGGTACTTGGCCCCGGAGCGATAAGCTGGGTTATGGTGGCCTGTGCCAGAGTCTGATAAGGCAGGTGGTGGGGTGTGGACTTGCTTGGCTGCCAACGAAGGGGAACTGACTAGTCCCTGCTGGACCTCAAACCTGGGTCAAAACAGCGTTAAACAACAACAACTACTCTATTACAGGTATTTGATGGGTTCTTTGGTGGTTTAGACGCTAACTTGTGTCCGACTCTGGTGACCCTGTGGACCGTAGCCCATCAGGCTCCTCTGTCCATGGGATTTCCCCGCAGAATACTGGAGTGGGCTACCATTTCCCTCCCCAGGGAATCTTCCCAACCCAGGGATCGAACTCAGGTCTCTTGCATTGCAGGCAGATTCTTCACTGACTGAGCCACCTGGGAAAGCCCATGCACTGAAAGAGAATGTCTTGTCTCCCATTCCCTTATTGTGGGCAAGGTCTTTTTTCTGCCTATATTGCACCCTCACTGTCTCTCTGCTCCCTCTGAAGGAACATTTCAGCCTCTTTCCAAGGTCTGAGGTCTCCCCTCCTCTGCTAGGGAGCTGTCGTGGGCAAGTTTCCTTTAAAGAAGGCTTCAAGCTGGCTCTTTCCTGTGTCTCTGGCATCTGACACTGAATTATACATGACATCGCATCAGCAAAGAAGAGGCTCTCAGAAGGCACCATGGAGGCAGTGAGGAAAGCAGCAGCCAAGGGCAGGCGCAGTAGACAAAGGTTTTTCAAGTGCACATGGAACAATGTAACAGGGAGCACGTCTATAATAAGATCCAGGGTGAGAAGGTTGAGGCACTTTTTCAGTGGCAAAATATAAGGGAGTGCCACAATACGCAGTTATCAAGATAAATCACATTTTGTGCAATGTTTAAAAACAAAACAAACGCTATAGACGCACATTTTCCCGTTTGCTTAAGACTCCAAAATGGCTCCACAGGGCCCTGGCGCTAGGCAATACCAGCTTCTCTCTTCCTCCAGGGCACTGGGAGCCACTTCGACACAGAGACGCTGGAACAGCCTCCAGGAAAGGCTGTCCTTAGGAAATAACCCTTATCTGAGCCTGGAAGAAAGAGACAAGGCTTGAGGAGTATAAACAGGGGAGAGGGGACAACGTGGTCTAAGTCCAAAATGCCTGAAGTAAAAAGGCCCGGAGAGGGGATCTGGGCTATGGTGGTAGCTGTGAGTTTGTAGGCAGAGACCAGATTTTGCAGGAACTCTTCAGAATTTTAACCTCAGGAGACACAGGCCCAGATTTGTTTCTTAGGCAGATAACGCCTTGTGAGGGACAATTGAAGTCAGATGTGGATACTGCTAAGTCCCTTACGCGGCCAGCGCGGTATCCGGGCGAGGGATGGCTGTATTCTAATCAGAACAGGTGGACACAGATTCCCAAAGTCCACGCCTCAGTTTCTCCCCCGAGCACCGAGGGTGGGGAGGCCCCGGGGTCTCTGCCCTGCCCACTAGGCCACCGCAGAGTCCCCTTGTGAACGGAGGGGGCACCGGGGCGCGCGAAGGAACCGCCCGAATTTAGCCGGGGGACCCGGGGCCAGCGGGGCGGGGCGGGTCCCGCGGGTGCCCGAGCCGCTCGCCGCCCAATCGCCGCTGCCGCGCCCGCCCGGCCCCCGCCATGGTGGCATGGATCATCTCCAGGCTGGTGGTGTAAGTGGCCTCCTTCCCCGTGTCCCTTCCTTCCTTCCTTTCCCTCCTCCGCCGCCGGCCCCGGGGGCTGCGGACGCCCCTGCGGAACGCCGGCCCCGGTGGCTCCGGCTATTAATACCCGGCGGCCGCTAAATTTAGCAGGTACAGTAGCTGCCGAGGTCGCGGGCGATCTGGCGGCGCAGGACGCGGCTGCTGCCCTGCGGGGCCGGGCCCGGGGCGCGGGGGACCGGCGGGTGGGGCCGCGAGGGCTGGGGCGCACGGGGCTGCGCCGGGGGGCGCGTGTCGCCGCGCCCGGCCGCTTTGTTTCCCCGCTTGATGGGCTTGGTAGAGGCCCCGAGTGGGCGCGCCGCGGGGACACGCGTCCCTCTCCTTGGGGGAGAAACGCTGGCCTGGGATCGCCCCGCCACTACGCTTTGGTCGGGTGAAATTGACGGCAGAGCCTGGGCGCTGCCTGGAAGGGTAGTCGCGGAGAAGGGCTGAGAGGCAGAGGCGGGGCTCCCCAGGGGGTTGAAAAAGACTCCTTTTTAGGGTTCTCAAATTGACAGCGGCCAAGGGAAGTGGAACGGAGAAGGACACCTCTGAATCTCGCGTCCCCTTGTCTGGGTCCTTTGGCGGGGGGTTTGAAGGAGAGAGAGAGAGACAGACAGGTATCTCCGGGAAATTTCCAAGTGACGGACGGCCACCCTGACGGTGACGATGACACCTCCCCGGCCTTGCAGGGGAGCGCAGAGTCATCCGGGGTGAGGCCTGCGCGAAGTCATCACGGGTGGGCGTGGGGGGCGTTTTCTGCTCTGACAAGCCCCAGAGCTGACTAGACCTTTCAAGAGTTCCTTTTCTCGCGGATTTGCCCTCCTTTGGAGGTAGACATAGCCATCTATTCGAGTTCCTCCCCTTCGTTGACCAGCCTCTCCTGAGTCAGATTTGCCACCTGCTTGGGGAACCGGGGTGAAATTGGTCTGGGAACGGGGGCCAGGTGGTGCGATTCTGGTTTTTTCTTTGTCTGAGAAAGAGAGGCTCCTGACTCTGGTTGATTCTGCACCATCACCCTCCACGTTTGGAAACACCTCCCATCTCCTATCCTTCTTTCCTGATTTTCACAGAAGCCGGTCAGGGGCCGCTTTCTGAAGCAGTACTCAGCATTGTCTCACGGCCACCATTCTGGGCTTTCCTCTGAAAGCCAGGGCATGGGCCTTTCAGCCCCCCGAGTTGTTCATTCCTTGCGGGCCTGTCCGCAGCTGTTGCCGCCTGCTGGGGGTTTGTCCTGTACCTAGAGGTGGCATGTTAAATATTTAGAAGATTTCTGCAGGCGGGGCTGGCATGAATAACCCAGGGAAGTGGCTGGCACAGCTGGCCCCACCTCATGCCCGATCAAGGCCTGTCTTGCCTTCTGGGTGTTTTTTTTTTTTTTTTCTCTCTCTCTCTCCTGAAGTAGTGCTGTGATTGTCATATTTTCAAGTGGCTGCTGGGGGGACTTCAGGGTGGGGCCAGAGAGTTGAGTTGGCCAGGCTGGAGGGCTCACTCTCCAAAGGTCCTGCTGGGCTGGGGCTGGAACACTAAGGAGCTAGGCTTTCTGGGGTCCATGTGTCATAAGGGGTCCATGTGACCATCTTTAATTTTATTAGCACCCTCAGCCTGTATATGAGGCCACTGAGAGGAGTGGAGAAGAGAGACATAGGTTTGGGTAAGACTTACTGTTGTTTTTGAAAATAACCACACTTCCTAGAAGTGAACAGTTTCATTTCAGAGAATGTTTTGTTTATTTATTTATTTTTAATTGAAGGATAATTGCTTTGCAGTGTTACGTTGGTTTCTGCTGTGCAACAACATGAATCAGCCATAAGTGTACAAACATCCTCTCCCTCTGGAGCCTCCCTGCCCCCTCCCTTCCACACCTCTGGGTCATCACAGAGTACTGGCCTGAGCTCCCTATGTAATATGGCAGCTTCCCACTAGCTATTTTACATATGTGTGCTTAATCGCTTAGTCACGTCCGACTCTTTGCAACCCCATGCACTGTAGCCCGCCAGGCTTCTCGGTCCGTGTGGATTCTCCACGCAAGAATGCAGGAGTGGGTTGTCGTGCCCTCCTCCAGGGGATCTTCCCAACCCAGGGATGGAACCCAGGTCTCCTGAATTGCAGATTCTTTACCGTCTGAGCCATAGTAATATATATATATATATATATATGTCTATTCTACTCTCTTAATTTGTCCCACCCTCTCCTTCGCCAGCTGTTAAATGACCATGAGAACTGCTCCTTAGCCCAGGGCCCTCTACTCCAAGAGAGAGTTTTCAGAATTTGGGGTTGTTATTCCCACTGTCAACTCCAAAACTTCAGAGATACCACCTATCCCTCCAGCCCCCAATTCTACAGAAACCCAATATGTGTCAGTTGTGAATTATTAAAACCATTTTAATAAGCAATACCTGTTTTGTATAAAAATAACTATTCATTGTAGGAAAATTAGAAAATATAAACCAGATAGACTATAAGGCATCTACATGACTACCATATGTGCGTGCATGCTAAGTCACTTCAATTGTGTATGACTCTTTTCCGCCCCAAGGACTGTAGCCCACTAGGCTCCTCTGTCCATGAGATTCTCCAGGCAAGAATACTGGAGTGGGTTGCCATGCCCTCCTCCAGGGGATCTTCCCTACCCACCCATTAAATCTGCCTCTCTTGTCTCCTGAATTGGCAGGCAGGTTCTTTACCACTAGCGCCACCTGGGAAGCCCAGCTAATGATAATTTTAAGAGGTGTATTTGTCAAGATGTGTTTTCCTAGGCATATATGCATGTATGTTTGTTTTTACCATTCAAGGAGATTATTGATTCAGCCCACATTTCCAGACACCCCTTAGCAAAGAGTAGAAATCCCATGTTTGGAGCCAGAAAATCCTTGATTCAAAACCCAATTCTGCCTCTTACCAACATCCCAGTTTACAGCTCAGATCCAAGGAGACACTAGTTCACAGGCACTAGTTGAACTTATGTTACTGTTGCAGAGATTTCAATGATCCTTGACTGATAAATTGTCAGGCACCACAGAAAGCATTCAGTCAACGAGAATCCCCTCCTTCTGTCCTCCAAGCGAGGGTGTACAAATTCTGGAAGGAGCTCTCAGATGTTATTCCTACAGATTTCAAACTGGCTGCCCTGGTGGCCACCTAGCGTTAGTGGGTTGGCTCTGGGCTTGCAGCCCTGACCCCTTTTCTTTTTTTTATATATTGAGGTTCTAGATCAAATGTAATTTGGAAACTATGAGGGTTTTACTGCTAATAAAAACCGCCGAACCAGTCCTTCCCTCTGTAAAACTCTTAGTGGAGTGTGCCTTGCCTCAGGGCAGGAGGTGAGCTGGAGAAAAACATAGGCATTGTGCCTGTGCCTTTTCCACCTCTGCTGGCCCTTGACCTAAAATGATGTCTTTCAAGCTTTCGAGACTTCTAGTATGAAGTCCTATGATTTTGTCCACAAGTCCCTTTTCCTGTAAGCAATCTTTTTCATGATTTGGTGAGCCTCTGTCACATCAAAGACTGTGTAAGAAAGACCTATCACTGTGTTCTGAGAATGGGGAGGGAGTATCTTCCTTCCAGCCAGAGGCATCAGGACAAGCTGATGGTGTCTGGGGACAGGCAGCTGTGTCTGTGGCTGTCTGTGTTGCCATGGACTGTGAGCATTTTGAGGGCAGTGGTGGTAGCTTTTCTTCCTCTTCCACCTCTTGCCCCCTCCCAAGGCTCTTTTGTGAAGTCCCTGGCACCTCAGTGCCCTCAGTAAATGTTGCTTGTGTTGAATGAGGTCAGAGGCCCTGGGATGAGCCAGGGAGCTGGTCAGGGATATTCTCTGGGGACGGAGGTTAGTGGGCATTGGGACAGAGTTGTGTCCAATGGGCAAAGCTCTTGGAACGGGAACCAATTTGAGATTCTTCTCTCTTGCCAGGTGTCTTCCTCTTAACTCCCTTCACTTAGCTAGGGAGAATTAAGGAAGAAATATTAGTGCAGTAGCAAGGTAGCCCTTAGGGCTTCCTTGGTGGCTCAATGGGGAAGAATCCTCTTGCAGTGCAGGAGATGCATGTTCCACTCCTGGGTCGGGAAGATCCCCTGAAGGAGAAAAGGACAACCCACTCCAGTATTCTTGCCTGGAAAATCCCATGGACAGAGGAGTCTGGTGGGCTACAGTCTGTGGGGTCACAAAGAGCCAGATATGACTTAGCAACTAAATAGCAGCAACAACAAAGTTGGCTTTGTTAAAACCTGGTTGATATCTGCGTGAAACTTGGAAGCTCACTTAGGCCTGGGCTGCCTGCCTTCTTTAAAATACTTTGTTTTCTTTCCAAACAACGCAAGGCCTAGGTGTGAAAGAATTTCAAACTGTGGAGGGTAAATTCATGTGCACTGGAGGGAGTTGGGGTCACACAGAGCATGCTCTGTGCCTTCTTGGGAGAATGCACTGTCTTGAAGCATTTATTCCAAGGAGCAGGTGTCGCCTCACTATCTCTGGACAGAATTTTTTTGATATTTATTTGTATATTTGATTACCTGGTCTTAGTTGTGGCAAGTGGAAACTTTAGTTCAGCATGTGGGATCTAGTTCCCTGACTAGGGATCAAACCTGGGCCCTCTGCATTGGGAGCTCAGAGTCTTAGCCACTGGACCACTAAGAAAGTCCCTGGACAGAATTTTGTCTGAGACCCAGGATGTTGGCTAAATGGATCCAGAGCTTCCCACCACTTAACTGGGTTGTTGTTGTTTAGTCACTAAGTTGTGTCTGACTCTTGTGATTCCATGGGCTGTAGCCTGCCAGGTTCCTCTGTCCATGGGATTTTCTAGGCAGGAATACTGGAGTGGGTTGCCATTTTCTACTCTAGGGGATCTTTCTGACTCAGGGATTGAACCCTAGTCTCCTGCATTGGCAGACGGATTCTTTACCACTGATCCACCAAGGAAGCCACTTACTGGGTTAGTAGACCACAACTCCAACTCACTGCAGGGGGAAAAAAGAGA